TACCTGACCGAGCAAGCAGGATCTCAATTTAAAATCTTATCCAAAGGACAGCACCTCTGACAATGCAGCACACACTGCAACACCACACTGGAGTTTGAGCCTAGACTGTGAGCTCAAAAGTCCTAACATGGGTCTTCAACCGACAAACTTTTGACCCAGAAGCGAGAGTGCTATGAGCTGAGCCAGCCTGATGCAAGCTGCAAATACAAATTCAAAGGAAAATGACATTTAAATGAGAGAATTGGTGTTCTATAATTCATAAATCTGGTACGCAGCGATTGATAACCAGTGTATGAATCCAAAGGTTATCTGTCTTTGTAAGCCTCCGTTGTCTACATCTTTGCTGTTTGTTTGCTCGTGTGATAAACTATGGGAGCTATATCAAATGCAAGGACAAATGCATCATCCACAAACGTGGGGTTCACTTCCATATCAATGCTAATGATGCTCAACTTTGCATCTTTGTGACTGCTCCTTTCCAGCACTGTTGCTTTTCTGCCTGGCTGCCGAGCTAATTGTGCCATCATTTTATATGGCTAAATATCAACTAGGTAATATTTGGCTGTTGTTTGGATTTCGACAGCATGTAAGTGTTTCTAGCTCCAATTCCATCAACCTCTTTGATTGCTGGTGTCCTGCTTGACCCTGATCTGAGCTAAGATGCTTGTCCTAGTCTTTGAATCCCTCCATGGCTTCACCCTACGTTACCCATAGTCTGTACACTTTGCTCTTCCAATTCTGGTCAATTGCTCCCTGTCGAGCCTCAGCCATCACGCAGTTATCCATTGAAACTTTCTTCAAAGCTGCTTGGCCTTGCTGTGTCTGGCTGCCTTCACATATACTGTATTTATTTGACCTTTACTTTGGTCAGCATCATCCTGGATCTCTCACTGCCCTGCAGAGTGTCCACGATTACATTTGTTTTGAGATATTCTTTTATACAAAGGCGCTGTATAAATACAAATTGTGTAAAGGAGTGATGACCTCTTGCCTCTGATTTTAAAGATGTGAAAAATGCCGAACAACTCAATCCTCAATTTGAAGCCGTATAAATTCCTAATAGTGCGTGAATTTAGTGGAGGATCTTTTTCATGGGTAAGGAACACAATATTGTGTTTTTAATAAGTAAAGCAAATTAAACTGCAAGAAAATTGGCAGTCCTTCTTGACCTGGGTTGCATAAGATTGCATTTATAATACTATAGCACTGGAACACTGTAGCCAAAATGTATTTTTCTTTGGGAATCGGAATAACAACAGCTGGGCATGTTATGGGAACAAATGGCGGATGCAGTGACTGCCTTGCAGCACTTCTGCATATCATACAGAGTCTTCTGTTCACCTTGCAATGAATGATCTGCCTTTGTTCACTTATTGGAGAGCAACAGGATCTCTGTCAAAAGGGCCTTTTTAATTTGTTATCCAAGCAGCTGGTTTTCTTCCATGTGCTGTACTTACTGTACATCTGAAAGAAGCTTCTTACAGCTGGGAGCCATTTAAGTCTAAACCACATCCCTTGCCCTCTATCCCCTACAAAAATACTCACACTGAAAAGATGTACAATTGATTATTCCAGCTTCTGAAGATTTTGCATGGCATGCCGAGCCTCTGCTGGTATACCTAGAATGTTTTCTTTGTGGCTTTTAGTAGTTTTTGAGGTGTTTGATTTTAATGAAGATTTTGAATCGCATTTAAAATAAAACTTTCCTTTTGGGAAAAGAACACAGTAAGATTAAAATAAAGGGGGTATCTGGCACGGAAAGATGGTTTTTAAAAAATAAAACCAACTAATAAAATCAAACCCAAGTTTTATGAAAGGAACCCGATCTGTTGCTTGTCATCCGCGTTCAAATGTACGTGGAATAGTTTACAGGAACACTGAGAACCGTCTTGTTCATTTTCAGGAAAGTGCATTGGAGTTTCTTTTAGCCAAGTGACTTCTGAGAAACGAGAGGTCCCAAATAAATGTGCTCTTCAGCGTAAAATCTGAAAATGTTTAATCCATAAAGTCTGTGCCTGACCAAGATGCTGGAGTAAGGATGGGAAACAGAGGTTTGGGGTTTCTGCGAGCATTATTTTAAGACTCTTTCCATTATTTTTAAATTAAGGTACATTTTAATTAATTACAGAGGTTTTATTCAGGAAGGGAGGGTACACGTAGGCTTGGAGTGTTAAACAAAGCACTGAGGGCAACATTCACTACACTGAAACCGGAACTTTTTAACAACAGATGTGTCTTTCTAAGTACAAACCTGAATTATCGTCTACACTGAAGACATAATGTTTCCAGCAAATCTTTGGTTTGTTCAGGTCAAACTTAGTCCAGTTGTAAAGCATTGCTGATTTGGGTTGGAAATTCTGGTCTCACAAGAACTGGGAAAAGGATTAAATGTAATCGCATTGTGCTTATTGGATACATTTATGTTGGCCGTGCCTAAGGAAAGGGGTTCTGCAAGGTAGATGCTTCCTTGCTGCTTCCTTGCTCCATTACCTAAACAAATTGGTAGTAGTTATAACCAAGGCATTTGAAAAACATACCAGTCTCTGTATCGGGATCTTTGTGCTGAGGCAGACTCAAGGAATTGCCTGTTTGGCCAAAGTAGTACTGTGGGTGGTCAGGACATAGCACATGGCAGTCAACCTACTGTGCAAAGGAAATAATCTTCAAAGGTGTCTAAAGGGTGGTAAGGAAGTCTGCGCCCCACCGAGGGTCAGAAGTATGCAGAGTTCTCGCCGTTCCACTGCTGGAGCAAGAGGTGCTGCTCTTACCGTGCTGCTACAGATCATAAGGAAATTGAGAGTGGCATAGCAAAGCTTTGCAGGCCATGTCAGGTCAGCTCTTTTCAGTTGCAGCTCAGCAGCTGTGAGAAATTCGTCTCCTGATATCTTTGTCCCATCTGCAGTGTTCGAGCGCTACCTCGTGGTAAGTGCTGGGTTGTAACAAGGTAACATGGTCCTGGAAATCTGTTCCAGATGTTTATTAGTCCTTAGGGTAACTGGGTGGTTGTGGTTCCCTGCTGCTGGTTCAAGTTGTTAGTAATACTATATAACTCAATTAAAAATTATTCCATATTAAACTATCCCTTCCTGAAACTAGTGTGAACTACTACTGTGGTTTCCTATGAAACAGGAGAGCATTTTTAAAGCAGTGCTATCGATGTCTTAAGTTTATGGTTCAGCTTAGGTCACTACAGTGCAGATAACCTAGACTTATTATGGAATAGAAATAGTAAAACAAATTGAAAAATATTTAGAATCTACCTGGTAACTTAATTATATACACTCCCTCAAGTAACCTGACCCCCTCCCCCTCCCAAAGATGTACTACAAGTGTAGATTGTGTTCACTGTCCAAAGTTAAATTTAGCTACCAGGTTTGAAAATCTGGGATCTGCGAACATATCTAGTTGTAAAGTTGTCGGTTATGCTTCAGACCTTGTGCTGGTATCATCCAATTTTCATATTGCACAGTCAAATTGTTCATCCCAATTGCTTTGTATTTGAGTTCATGGTTCACCAAGTTTACCATTGACTAGATGAACCTTAAGTATTTTATTGTTAAAGTGGTGTCTGTGAGAGAGCCATGTAGTATTAGGAGTATATTTTGTCACTATATTGCAGGAGAACTGAGTCGTTAAGTACACTTTTTTTTATAAAAGACTTTTTAAAATTATTTAAATACTTATATGTCCACATTTGTTTTCTTCAAAAATAACTCAATAGCCAGGAGTCTATTGCTGATGTATTTGTTGTAGATGCCAACTCAGATTTGCCACCTAGTGTTCTTCAATCACAGTCAAATTAGATCATTTCTGCATTCATATTACATGTTTTTATTTTACATTCTTTATGTGAGAAAATCTTTCAATGCAAATAAACTGACCAATGAATCTTTGTGCACATCCCCAAACCAAATATTGAGATAACTTCCTTTCCTGAGACCTGAACAATCCATCTAGGCTTACTTAGCCTGTTAGACTATTTCATCTTAAAATCTAAGATCACACAGAATTGTGAAAAATTCTTAACTGCAGAAAGCCGGCTTTCCAAATTAAGACTGAATTTAAGAATTATCCACAATTCAGGTGGATCTTATATGACAAAATGATTTTTTAGTCTAACATTAGATGTATATCAAGCCTGGTCCTGCACCATCTATAGCCAAGTGAGTCCCAGGAATTGTTTTGCTGAGTTTTAGCCTGGGATAAAGTGCCTAAAATATGTGTGTTTTCTTCAGAAAATGTATTTTCACTGAATGGTTGGATTTCATGAACATCCCTAAATGGCGTAGTCGTGATAAAGACCAGAAGGTCACAAGATCAGATCCGGTCTGTGCTGAGTTGGCTGATCTCTGCAGGGCCAGCAGTTAGGGCACTACAATTGGCCTCAGGGTCTTTAAGCTAAGGATGGGAAAATCAGCCATGATTTCAGCTTCCCAGTGCCACTGTCTCCCCCAACCCCCACCCCCTCCTCCCCTGTGTGGACATTGGGTGAGGACAGGGTCATGCAGGAATTTGATGCACCCATGGTTGAATATCCTGCAACATTCACTGTCAAGGAGAGACAGCTGAGGGCATTCCATGCATGTGGAACTACTACCCCAGAAGGAGGCAAAAGAGAGCAAATAAGTTCTTACTCTCCATGCTGGAATCTCTGGATATTTTCTAGACTTTTAGCAAACAAACACTTTTTTCTACATTTATAAGCACATGCTGGTGTGTGGCTCTGCTTTGTGTTGAAGAGCCATGAGGTGAATCTTTATTTAAAGACAGCACAGTGGCAGTCTTTTTTTGACCATGCACAAGAATGGATTCTGTCATCTTTGTCGTCAGGAGTACCAGAATAAACTATGTGTTACAAAATAACTGTATGTTAAGCATGATGAAATTGAACCAAAGTCTGACTTTCAATATTGAGGCTTGTTGATCGATATAATTGACAGAATGACTGCTCAAATTCAATGTACTGCAGCACACTCTGATCTGTCTGTCTGTCTGTGTAGGTCCAACTCATCTCCACACCCCAATGCTGGATTTGGACAGTGATGTACGGCCTTCTCCCATTAGTCGCCTGAGTCAAAGCACTACGTTGAAAAGAGCCAGCAGTTTCCAATCTTCCCGAGATGACTGTAAGAACTGCACCAATGTCATTTGATTTTATTCGAGGAAATTGTTTATTATGCATTATTTAAAAAGCAACAACAAGTTACATTTCACCTTTGATGTCAGAAGGATGTCCCAAGGCACTGGACAGTCAATAGTCCTTTAATTGCCCATATCTTCCATCTTTTTAACCTTCTCCCTCCTCAGGATTTTCTCTCTCTCTCTCCCTCCCATTATTTTCTTTCCTTTTTTCTTTTTCTCTCCCCTTTCCTCCCCTTTTGTTTTCGCTCACTTCCTTCTGCCTCTTACCTCAGTCTCCCTCTCACTCTAATTATTCTTCTCCCCCGTTGCCTAATTCAAGGATTGAGTTCCAATCGACTACGTTTTAGTTTCCATATTTTCTTTCCAGCTTGGCGATACAAAGCTCCACAGACTGTGACCTTTGTTGACAACCTAACTGAGATTGTTATAAGCCAACTCCCCAATTTCTGGAAGCTTTGGATATCCTATGTTAACGGCAGTCTTTTCAGTGAGGTAAGTTAAAGTCTATTTCAACTTCATGTATTTCACCCACAAAATATGCAGTCAATTCACTTTACAGTATGACCTGTGAAGCGCTTTGAGACATCTTGAGTAAGTGATGAGGCGATATACCAAATGCAAGGATTATTATTATTATCCATTCAGATACTTGGATGGAGCTAAACTGCTACAAAAAAATAACTGACACTTTTAATAGTTTGGTCCCCAGATCCGATGTTCAAACACGTGCCTCTAGTGATTAGGAGTGGCACTGCTGCTTCATATTCTGCTCCCAAACTCACAGCTCTATTGTAGTGCTCCAGTTCCTGCCCTGCCTGAGGCTGTGTTAGATCGGCTGGTCAACGAACAAATTAGCAGAGCTGTTTGGAGGAAGCGTTCTAGTGTATTTTATTCATTATTTTTAAATAGGATTTTTTAATTTTGTTCGGCCGGTGTCTGATGCATGCAGGAACTCGTCACCGTGCTTAAGAGTATGCAAACCAAGCAGATTTCCGTGCATCCCACCTACGTATGGAAATTCCAGAGATAGATTGTTGGACTGGAATGCGCACTCTCTCCCTGGAAGGATGCCTCCTGCTTACCGAATTCCAGAAAGTATTAGGCGTAGGTTGGCAAGAGCCAAGGCCCGGGGACCCCAGAATGTGTGTTGGGGTACTGCTGGAGTCTAAACAGCTAAAACCGCATAGCTTGCCTTTGATATTGCTTCCTGCTGACTTTCCATCTAGGACCACCCCAACCGTTAGGGCTTTGGCTTGCAGGGTTAACAGGAGCTGAGTGGGTGGACTCCCTGCCCCCAGTGACTAGTCTGTCCTTCCAGGTCCTGCCAATGAGTCAGACTGGCTGTGCTGTCAGTAGCTGTGGCCTGGAATACTGTGGATCAGAGACTGCCACAGAGGGCTCGATTTTGACTGGTTGAGTAGCCAGTTCAGCTCCGAGGAGATCCCGATTATTAAATAGATAAAATAACATTACTGACTGGGCATAATTATAAATGAATTTATCATTTGACGTTTTGTATAGGTAAGGTATGTAAAGTATTACTCTTAATGATAATTAATAATTCAAAAGGATTTTCATTTCTTACTACTTTGCTGAAACAGATTGGCAGGTCATTTTAAAATGGAAAAAAATGTATACTTTTATAACACAGTGGAAACAAGAAAAATATCTCCCCAATTTGTGGAACACAATTGTGATTTAAGGTGATCCATTTATTTTTCGGAGTGTGATAAAGCCATCTAATGGTGCTTAAATGGTACTGCGTCAACTAATTTTATTAAATCATTGCAATGTGAAGACTTGGTTTTCAGTCAAATGCTTTTCAGTGCTGACTCAACTGTAAATATTAAGATATAGGAAATAAGGTGAGGAAACTGATCCTAAGGAATAATTCCAAGCCAACAATCAGTTGTGTTCTTTTGGTATTTCACAAACCAAAGTTGGAGTCAGTCACATAAGCCAAGAACATCCAAGCATTAGCTTCTGAATCTTTTTGACTGAAATCAACATGACTTTCCATTCCTCCCACTTTGTGCAAGAATTACCTCTCTAGAATCATATTCAGTTATTCTTCTGCCATCTGTGTTAGTCCTCAGCAGCAACACCTCAGAGAACCTTTGATTGAAAATGAAGAACAGTGTATCTATCTGAGCCTTCTGTTAGCTAATTCCTGCATTTTAAGTTCTAGCTCAGATCCAGTAATCTTCCCTTGTACCAGGGTGTTTCTAGTCAGTGTTTCTAGAAGAAACACTGTCAAAGAAATAATAATAATCCTTACATTTGATAAAGTGCTTTTCAGGGCGTCTCAAAGCGCTTCACGGGATTTACTGTGATGTGCAGTGACTGCATATTTTGAAAGACAAACATGGCAGTCAATTTGGTCACAACCCTGTCCCACAAACAGTCATGAAGTGAATGTGGGATTGTTGGCTATATCACCAGGAAAAATTCCCTTCTCTTTTCGAGTACTGCCATTGGATCTTTTAACGTTCACCTGAACAGGTAAATGAGATCTCAGTTTGTCTGAAAGATGGCACCTTCAGCAATGCAATGCATCCCCTGGACTATGCTGAAATGTCAGGACGATGAATTTAAAGTCCTGATGTGGGGCTTGAACCCACAACCTTCTAACTTAAGGTTGAGAGTGTGACCACCTGAGCCAGGCTGACACCAAGGAAGAGATATATATATACACTTTCAGCAATGCAAAATGTGTGAAACGGGGCTCTGTGTGTGTGTATTCAGCACAAATCTAGAAAAGCCAACCAATCTGCCTCAACATTAGAGTCTATATATCTGCCCTGTCTGTACTCCCTTTTCTAAGTGTAGTTCAAATCAGTGAGTCAAAAAATTATTTAAAAAATTAGAAAAGAGATAAAAGAAATGTATTCACAGGTATTGGCTCAGTTGGCAGCACTCTCACCTCTGAGGCAGAAGGTTGTAGGTTCAAGCCCCAAGTTGGGTCTTTGAATTTACACAGTCTAGGTTAGGCTGACACTCGAATACAATGCTGGAGGGAGGTGAGCTGTATTGTCAGAGGTGCCATCCTTTGGATGAGATGTTAAATTGAGATCCTGTCATCCTGTTCAGTTGGATGTTCAAAATCGCATGGCACTATATGAAAAAAGGGAGTTTCTCCTGATATTCTGGCTAATGGTCCCCTGGATAAAATTGATCAATCACTTCATGTTTTTTCTGTGCCACATGCTTTGTGCAAATGGGCTGTTTACCAACAAATATACACAGTCACCTCACTTTCCAGTAAATCCTGTAAAGCGCTTTGGGACATCCTCCTGATATGAAAGCCACTATACCAAATGTAGGGATTATTAGGATTACTATTAACAATATATTTTTAATACACTTAAAGTATTTGGCATTCTTTTAAGGAGCCAGAGTCTTGCCCCTCCACTCATTCTCGAGTACAATTCCTTAAGCATGAGCTGTTTGACACTGAAAATGAAACCTGTGGTGTTTTTGACTAATTCTATGATCAGTTAAGGCTGATCAAGTAGAATACCTCTGATGGCTCACTAACGAAAACCACTGAAAGTTTGAAACTGTGCTGTTCAGACCGGGCAGGTTCCAGGCTCAATTCCTGGTCTGTGAGCTAGTAATTTGAGTCAAAGTGGTTATAGGGACATCAGAATTGATGGTTCATGGTTGAATAGTCTGTCAGGGACCGCGTTACAGTGATAATGGATGACCAGTAGATGGTGCTGTTGGATCATATATTTAACTTTAGAGGCAATCACTCAAACCAACAATTTTCTATTAATGCAGTATCCGAATGCGCACTCTGGGGCCCTCAAGCTTTGGCTTTTGCTAACTTAATAATAATATTAATAATAATAAACTTGTGCCTAACGCTCTCTGGAATTATGTAAGCAAAATGCGTTTCCTGCCTCCACCACGGGGAGAGAGTGTGTATTCCATTCCAGACACCGGCATTTTCACGTGTAGGTGGGATGCATGGAGCTCTGTCTGATTGGGANTTTTTTAAGCATGGTTGTGGACTTGGGCATATGTCAAATGCTTGGCTGCCCCCAAATAAATCTCTACAGTTGTATAAAATGCTTAAAATATGGTTGCAATATTATGCTAACATATTCAAAAATTGGTTCCTCTATATTTTACTTTTATCTCTACTTTGCACACTTACTTGTACATGTTTGGTTTGCACTTTAATTTTAATCTGTTTCTGGTTTCCAAAGACCGGTGAAAAATCAGCACAAGTGGAAAAATTTAAGAAGAATGCCCGATCCCGACAAAACGACTTCAAGGTACAATTGTCTAAGAAAGAATATATTGTAATTCAAGCTTTTTTTAAGCAAGTAAGATATATGCCACCAAAGTGGCCGTTTGATTTTGTTTTTTGTTCAAATTGCAGAAAATGATTCAAGAGGTAATAAACTCGCTTGTGAAGCTGATCAGAGGAGCTCTTCTCCCCTCCAGCCTCCAAGAAGTAGAACTGAGACATTATGGGGGTTGGGAAACGAAAACAGAGCTTCCTGGCCAGTGGCTAACCCACGTTATTCACACGATGAGGTAAATGTTGAATGTTGGCAAGAGAGAGGCCCTCCTGCTTGTCTCCTGTCAGCCCCTCCTCACCTGAGGCGCTGATAGCATCACAGTTCATGGATGCACTTTCCCCCTCATCGAGCCATTATGGAACCTTGGTGTCCTGTTTGACCCTCAATTGTCCTTTAAACCACACGTCATTGCCATGACTCGTTCTGCCTTCTCCCACCTCAGTAACATTGGCTGCCTCCACCACTGCCTCTCCCCTCAGGCCGCTGAGACCCTCATCCACACTTTTATCACATCCAGGTTTGACTACTCTAACACCCTGCTTGACGGCCTTCCCAATTCTTCCCTCCACAAACTGCAGATTATTCATAACTGCAGTTTGTGTTCCCTTCATACCAAGTTTTGTGAACCAATGACCCTCAAAGTCACTCAGCTCCACTGGATCAAGTTTAAAATCCTCGTCCTCACTTTTAAAGCCTTTCACAGTCATGCTCCTCCCTACCTCTGCGGCCTATTAACACCATACCAACCTGTCCGCTCCCTCCATTCAGCCGGCACTGGCCTGCTCCATGTTCCCCAGTTTTTTGGCCCCCATCCTCTGGAACTCCGTCCTGGAGCTCCTCCGCCTCGACCCCCTCCCTTGCCTCCTTCAAGGTTTGTCTCAAGACATTTCTCTTTGACTGTGACTTCAGTCATTTTCCTCCACTCTCACCCTCACCCCTCTTGATTCCAGTCCCCAGCTTGGGTGAAACCCCTTGCCTGTCCAGTTCTTTGGGACATTCTTCTGACGTGAAAGGCGCTATGAATATGTAATTTGCTGTTGTAAATGAGATCTAAAATCGCAGCCATGTTTACAGACTTGTGGAAATGTTCTACCGGAGGCAACTATTATTCACCATGAAAATCAGGTTGCCACACACTGCACTTTTCACGTACTGTTGCACCATTTCCCACATGTTTAATATCTCCTTGTGCTAAACCGAGAGAGAGAAAAGTTACACATTTCACAGCACCTATTCATTAAAACCTAACTAATCTGTACAACAGTATTTTAATTTGATCCGGCAAAGATGGTATCATATGTTTTGTGAGTGGACTTTCTTCCTGGTTATCACCTGCGTTTGACGCTTTGATTTTTGGCAGTACACCTTTGAACCACTTGCTCAGCAGGGAGTTTATCTTCTGGTGTCCTGGTCAACAATCCCCCGGATAAAATTGATTATTCACTTCATGGCTGTTTGTGGGATATTATTATGAGCAAATTGGCTGTCATGTATGTCTACAAAAAATTTAGTCACTGCACTTTACAGTAAAATGCTATGATACACTGAGATGTTTCAGCAGATAAGGCATTATAAGTAATCAAATACAAAGATTATTGCGTTGGCAGACGACTCAATTCTCTTTGATATTTGGATCTAGACTATGATCTAAACTTTGATGTACATGCAGAACTGTAGCATAATGGTTCGCGCCCTTGCCTAGCAAGCGAGAGGATCCAAGTTCGATTCCCAGGCGGGCCAATACCTTAGGCAAGTTTCCGAACTATATCGCACACATTCAATATCACCATTTGTGATTTGGCAAATTTCGCATTTTATCTTTTGGTCGAGGCGATTTTCTCTTGGTCCCTGATGGACATATCAATGCACGGCTGTTGGCTATTTCATATTTTAATGTTGCCTCTAACTGCGCCCACTCTAATTTCCGCTCTATCCCTGTAGTATATTTTAAAAGTGAATGCCTTTAAATCATTCCTATTTATTTTACTTTTGATTCAATAACAGGCTGAACTACGAGTCGTTGACAGCCCTGGAAATACCGAATGATCTATTGCAGACAATCCAGGAGCTAATCTTAGATGTGCGAGTGCGTTGTCTAATCGTTACACTGCAGCAGACTGCGGATGGTAAGAATGAATAATACACCAATAGAATGAATAGCATTTTCATTCTGGGTAAAGGTGAGAAATAAGAAGGGAAGTGTTTATTATAGACCACCAAACTGAAAATCAGACAGAGGAACAGATTTATAGAGAAATCCAGGAGAAGTGCAAGAATAACAGGGTAATAATAATTGGAGACTTCAATTATCCTAAAATAGATTGGGACACAGGTAATGTGAATGGCCAAAAGGGGAGGTTTTATAGTGGGTACAGGATTGCTTCATTAATCTGTGTTTCCAGTCCAACTAGGAAGGAGACAGTTCTTGATCTTGTTCTAGGAAATGAAGTGGGGCAAGTGAGTAACGTACAGGTTGGGAAACATCCAGGAAACAGCAACCACAGCATTATTAGGTTTAATGTAAAAGCTGAAAAGGAGCAACAGTCAAAGACAAAGGTACCCGACTCGAAAAAGACACATTTCAGAAAGCTCAAAAGGGAACAAAAGCACAGATAAATTGGGCAGAAAGGCTGCCAGATAAGACAGTAGATGAACAGTGAGAAACTTTCAAAGCCAAGATAAACACAGTGCAAAATAAGTTTCTCCTGACAATAAATAAAGTGGGTACTGCTAAAACTAGGGTTTATTGGATGAGTTGAAAAATTACAATAAAAATAAGACTTAAAAGCATACAATAAAAGTCAATTAATACATTAAAAAATCGGGCAGCGTCTACAAAATATAGAAAGGAAGCAAAAAAGATTTGTCATGCCAAAAGAGGATATGAGGAAAGAAAAATACTAAAACATTTTATAAACACAATAAAAAGTAAAAGCATAATTAAAGAAAAGGTGGGTCCAGTTAGAAACAAAAAAGGAAATCTAGTCATAGAAAATGAAGGTTTGGCAGGGTTACTTAATGAGCATTTGGCCTTGGGTTTACAGAAGGGAGTTTTACAGTAGTGAGGCATTGAATGCACAAGACGAGGATGTACAGCAATTAGCAGGGATAACTGTACAAAAGGAAGTGGTGCTAGAGAACTTGATCCGAGAATGTTGAGGAAAGTCAAGGAGGAACTAGTAAGATGCTCTGACAACAATTGTTCGAACATCTTTGAAAGTTGTGCCAGGAGACTGGAAGGTAGTGAATGTTTAAAAAGATAGAATGGGAAAAGACAAATAATTATTGTATAGCCAGTCAGTCTAATGTCCATAGTGGGCAAACCTTTAGACACTGGATAATACGGCGTGGGCTTGAACCCATGACAATGGAAATAGATTAAAATATTACAGCCAATATTTCTTTATTTGAAAATAGTTTATCATATTTCTTTCTTACTTAGATGTTAAGAGACTTGCAGAAAAAGAAGACTGGATCGTTGACAATGAGGGTATCACTTCTTTGGTTAGTAGCAACCGTGTTCTGTTTACCATCTCTTTGTTTAGCTGGATCATCTATTAAGTTCATATATGCCTTATAATGTTTTCAGAATAGTTATGAATTTGATTGAATTGTGATAGAAAATAGCTATAAAGAGACACTTGGGAAGATTTGTGGGGGGTATATTGCACATCTAAATCAATTGAGTAGAGTCCCTTGGAGAGCTAACTAATGTAGTTTATTGAAAAATTACGCTTTATTGGACTAAATTGCTTTTTTAACCTTATTCAATTGGTCTGTACTATCATTTGCTGGTCTTACAGCAGCACATGTAGTGTTATCAACTGGACATATGGGAAATGAGTACAAGAAGAAATAGTCTTTGGAATAGAATTGAGGGTTCTGAAAGCCAAATACAGAAAGATAATCTTTGTAGAGCATGATTGTACCTGACCTGATGGAACCATGGAAGTGATATGCAACAGAAACCAAGTGCTCAAGGATATACAATGTAATGTAGAAGATTAGATAAGCACTCCAGAGTTTAGATCATTTAAATTTTGTGTATGTGTGACCTTAATCAAATAATCATAACATTTATTATCAATTGGGTAAAAATGAAATGTTTTGGGTGAAATCTAGGAAATGTATTTTCTAGGTCACTGAAAATAGTTTGTATTCCAAGCAACAAAAACAAAATCTTTTTACTAGCTGTAGACAGCACCACCATACAGTTGATTCTGAACAATAATAAGACTTGTTTTTTCTCTTCAATAGCCAGCTCAATTTGAACATTGTGTTGTGCAAACTCTACAAGCACTCAAGGAAACCATAGACTGCCAGCCTGGAGAGACGAGCGTAAGTGTTACATCTCTAGACCAAGTTCTGAACTTTGTTCTTAATTTCCCTTCAATGTGAAATGTTCAGCTCCAGAGTTCATAAGAGACTTTTGAATGAAGAAGGCCCTTCAGCCCATTTCATTTGCTTCCAGAATGACAACCCTATCATCTTCTCATTGCAGTGTCAAATTGCTTCTTAAACGAGTCCAGTGTCCAGATGGCAAAATCGTTTCCACAATGTTTTTTCTCTATGTTCTCTTCAAAAGGTATTAGTCACCATGTACGCTCCTCTAGCTGGAAAAATGTTGTTCACCACTTCATCAATACTGCGCTAAAGAGGATGAATCTGAATATTTGTTCCTCACACTTATGAAGTACCATGCTATAAGTTCATTTTTTAGGTTGTCTTAACAAGCCTCACAAAGTTAGTAGTAGCCTGCCCACGTTGACCAATTTTACCAGCCAACAGAAAATCACCCCCAGAATTTCATAAATATAAACCCGTGACCCTGCAGAACTCTACTTATTAATTTGCACCAATTTATCAATTACAACTTCTGTCATAGTGAGGAAACAGGATTGCATTGATGGAGAAACATAAAATAACCGGTAGAAGTAGTGGTGTAATCCTTATCCTCGAAACTCAAACGCCCATATCTCAATAGTGATGATAATTCATCTTTATTTTAAAAATCCTCCATTCTGCTTAAAACAATTTCCGACCAATTGTTTACCATATTCTAGGACTGAGCAATGATGTGGATATATGGTAAAAAGGGGAAGTGACTGCAGGGAGGGAGCGCTTTAACCTTCACTGACATGTCACTGAGCCCCCTGGGTGGGGGAGTCCGCTTTACAATGGACAAGGTCGAGTAAACAAAAGCTGCTCACATGAGGATTTGAATTGAAGTACAGTAAAACTCTCATAAGTCTGATCTGTATCAATTGTATAATCGCCTAAGTTGTACATCTGTCGAAGCCCCATTGAATTTCCTATTTTTTATCAGTTTTACAGAACTCGAACATTGTAAAAGTCATTAAATGTATGGCCCCAACTGATATGACTGCAACTAATGTGAGGTTTACTGTAGGTACCGAGTATGCCTGGTACACAGCATAGACCTAGGCCTCAAGAAGATCGAGATAGCTGACCTGTCACAAACTGTCGCTTAAAGATCCTTCCACAGCACTGAATGCAGATGTCTATCACACAGCTAATGAGGAAACTCTCAGGCTTGGGACAACAGCTAATGGAAGCTGGTACCCTGAATCTGGGTTCATGAACTCATCCTCATGTATTCAGGCTTGATATCCACTTTCACTGGTGTGCAGTGAAATTAGTAACTGCTTCTGAAACTCTGCACTTGCAACTGTTGGAACCAATGCTCAGTGGGTAAGGACGTTTGACCGAGCTGTGGACTGAGGCAGATGGTGGAAGTGATCTCACTGTATTTCATACCAAGTTGTGCTGCTTATCAAGAGACTCACAAGGAGTTCCTGGTATCACCTTGTGAGAGTTGAAGCCTATGCTTGTTAAACGTTTAATGACCAACGAGTGACTCTTGTGGAGAGGTAAGCGGAGTCTCCTTGGCCTGAGCTAGCTCCAAGACGCAGCAGCTGACTCAGAATTGAGTCAACACTGTGAAGGTCCTGAGCCAGGTGTATCACGGCGCTCTTGAACATTGCTGATGACAGATCAGAAGCCTGGCTTATCACCAGAACTTGGAGGTACAGACCGGGGACAGGAATTTTTCTGTTTAAGATCCTGTTAACTCTGCAAGACAATCCTCTAATGGGAAGGGTGGTCCTAGTACTTGCCAGGCAGTGCTCGCAATAGCAAGCTATGTGGTTTTAGCTGTTTAAATTACACCGGTACCCCAATGTATATTCTGAGGTCATCCCGTGGCCATAATCTTCCAGAATTAGGTAAGCAGGATCCAACCTTTCGGGAGGATAGTGTGCATTCCATTCCAAACAATTGGGAGGTTTTCTGCTAAATCTTTTATTAAACTTCATTTTTTATTCTGCATTTGTATGTGACTCTCTGCCTCTGTTTCTGTATCAGTCTATATGTCTTTCTTGTTTTCTCTTTTATCGCTGTGTTTGAAAAAAAAACACCAATCAACAAAATCATAATAATAATTTGGTCACTCAAACCTCGACTGTTTGTGGGACACTGATGCGCTCAAATGCCTTCCGTGTTTCACCCAAAACATACGCAGTCAATTCACTTTCAAGTGTATTCTGTGAACTGCTTTGAGAAGTCTCAATGATGTGATGAGGCGCTGTATCAAATGCAAGGATTATTATTATTATTATTATTAAATGCAGGAACGCTGGTACTTCAAAACTTGTGTCTTCTCTTGAATTGGCCTCATGTATCATTTGGCATACATGACAGGTTCCTCACCACTAGTTTAATTGATGTAAGTTCAAAGAACTGAGATGTGACTCAACCGTGGTTCATTATTACTCGTTTTTTTTTAAGTCTAATGTTCAAAGGTGGTGCTGAAAAGTTTAAGGCATGTAGATTATAAATGCGTACTTTTAGACAAGAACTGGAGCTTTACTTGATTGTGCCTTACACCAACAAAAATCATTTGAGGATTTCTATGAGCAGCAGTAAACTAATTTTTGCACTATGACTCTTAACGAGTAATCCCTGTAGTGTGACGGATGGTCCACTTCTTGGCTTAAGTTCTTATAAGAACATTACTATCTATTTGCTGGAAAAGTACCGTGCACAGTAACCTTCTTGCACTAAATAACCTGTTTATTGGGGTTGATACTGTGGTTAGAATGCAGTAACTACTAGAATTAGGTTAGGTGCTTGATCGACCTGGGTCGCTGTGGGATTGTGCCAAGCAAAGATCAAAGGTAAAGGTTGGTTATCGCTCGACACTCTCCCACACCTACTTGTGGCTGATTTCCAAGTGCTATTGGAGGAGACCCTGGAGCAGTTTCCTCTAACCACCATTTAGAATCTTAGCCATATATTTACTCCACTTTTATTTTCAGCCTGTGTTGCGACAAAGTGAGTTGCAGATGCTCGCTAGGCCACGGAAGCTATGAAAACCTGGATAAATGGTTGGGTGCTTCCCTGCAAGTGGACAGGAAATGTCAGTCTTGAAAGGAGACATCTCAAAGGGAACCTTTCAGCGACAAGCTTTTAAATGATATTGAGAACACAATCCCAGAACAATCTTTCAGATGCAGCGAGCTATCAGAATCAGAGGATGCAACAACAACAACAACAAAATTACGTTTACCCTACAGATTCAGGGTTACAAAGGTCAATATTCCAAACAGACAACAATAAGTATTTCTTTAGCTGGAGTGTAATTAAAGACTGGAACCGGTTGCCAGGAAGGGTGATTGAGGCCAGGACACTGAACTTATTTAAAAAAAAGAAGCTTGATGCTGTGATGAGAAGGTAGAAGAATGGGTATTCTGGAAGCATCAGATCCAGCGCCTTGGGATGTCCTCCAGACGTGAAAGGCGCTATACCAATGTAACTTTGTATCCAATGCCTGAAGGACCATCTTCATCCAAACCAATCTTGAGAATAGATAGGATGCTGCTCATGTACTTCCCCCTAATGGTTAGTCTTTGCACTTGATAAAACGCCTTTCACATCGGGCTGACATCCCAAAGCATTTCACAGTTTATACTGTTAGCAGAAGCACACAAGTCAGTTATATAACGACACTTTCGTCTTGGAAATTCAGAAATGTTTTTGTGTGTATGAGTTTGCATATATGTGGAGGATGGGGGGGGAACCTTAAATAGTAAGTGAATAAAGCTTTATATTTAGTTGCCATTGACAGAGTTTATAATGGCTGACAAAGATAATGGCAAACTGAATAAAAGATGTTTCTCAGGTATTTCTAATTAATATAAATTTTCAATCTAATATATATTCATTTTGTTTGATTTATTATTAAATTATTTTACAAAATATTAAATATATCAGTAAATGTGTCAAGATTGACCTCGTGACTTCATAGTTTATGCAATGTTGCACTAATTTGTCCATGACTGAAAGAAAACAGTAAATGCTATGAGATACAACAACAACAACAACTTGCATTTATATAGTGTCCTTCACACAGGGAGCGTCCCAGAGTGCTTCATAGTGATGGAGTCTGACAACAAGCCAGGAGAGAAGCGGGGGAGTTAGGGAGAGAGGGAGGGGAGGAGGCAGGGGAAGGGGGAAAGCGACGATGTAAGGAGAGCAATATGCGGAGCTTCTTTGATGCTGCAAACTTAAGGCATATAACCTCGACTGACCTGCCAACCCTACTTACCTTCTGGTGACTTCTAAATTTCTGGTGATCTGACACAGTGCACAGCTAGTGGTGTAATATTGACGTATTACATTTTTGGAACATGATAGACTCTTGCCTCTTAGCTTTACCACTCTTCACAGAAACAAATGCCTGCATTTGTATTTGCAGATATTTCAGCATGAGAAGACACAGTATCACGTGTGCGAACTGTCTGTTAACATCATGAAGGTGAGTACCAGTTAAATGGATATACTTAACTCTGTTGGTTACTGAGTATGTTTTTGCTGCATGTTTTTCCTCTTTCCTTTCATCTCCCAAATAACTTATATACAAGAGAAAAATGTGCTGCTCTCTCCTCCTGCACCAAACATTGTTGAAAGTTGTTGGTAGATCAGATTGTTTTAAAGTTCTTTAAGAAAGGAGACAAGAGGCTGGGTTAAAGGTATGGGTTGTGAGCAGATTGGAAAGGTAGGAAGTTGCTAGGAATTAAGTGATTTATTTGTAGGTGAGTTTGAGAATCTTGAAATTGATCCGTTCAAGCCTAATTCATATAGATGACATTATTATTTAATTTGTTAGAAGTTCTATATAACAATGTTTAAGGTATGGATAGATAGGAAAAAACTATTTATTTGTAGAATTGGTGACTTGGAGCACAGATTGGGATTTGTCAGCAGAACAATCGGGGGGATAAGAAGGAATTTCTTCATTCAGAGAACCACAAGTGGCTTTGGAGTTTGAATCAAGAGTTAACCAAAGTTAACTGGAAACGCATTTAAGCAATAAAACATTAAGGAATATGCAGAGAAAGCTGGGAAGCGGAATTAATAAAAAAAAATTGGAAAAGCAAGTACCAGTGGCACAAACACACGTTGGCCCAAATGGATCTCTTCTGGGCAAAAAGTCTATTATTTATACTGTTCAGGAATTCAGACTAAATCCAATTAAGTCAGTGTACATTTTTAGTTACTTTGTATTGTACACACGTAACTTCTTTCAAACAGTGTTCTTGCATTACAGGTTTTTGTTGGTTCCCTGGAGTACCTGAGCACAAAATCAGATGGTGATGCAGAAAGTAGCCAGTGAGTATACTGTATTGTCATTTAGAAAATAGGGGGGTGGTTAATGAAAAGAAATTACATCGGAGCAGTATTTGGTAAACCATGTCAAGTGACACAATTACCAGGAGCTGGGCATAATTGCAAGGGACAAAGTTGAGGAAGGAGCAGAGATTTTTTTTAAAAGAACTTGAAAACTATTTTTATATATTGAATAAAAAATATATTGTCACCACAAAATGATTCTGGAAATGTTTAGGAAAGTCTGCCCTTTTATTACATTTGTGAGGCAGTGTTTCGGTATCTATTGGTAGCAGCCGAAAATCCGAACTTTAGGAAATCGTGTTTAGTCGATTAAATATTTCTTGATTTATGGCGTAAATCAAGAAATATTCAATCAAGAAAAAAATAATTTATTGGCTGATCATAAAGGTTGGCCATCACTGATTTAAGGTAAAAAAGATAAGGTAAAAAAATCTTTTTGCATTATGTATTTAGAGAGTCACTTTGTCACTGTATTTTTGGCAATGTTATTTCTCAAAAATAATAATTGCATTTGATATATCGTCTTATCACATCTTCGAGACGTCTCAAAGCGCTTCCCAGAATATACTGTAAAGTGAATTGACTGTATATTTTGTGGGCAAAATGCGGCAGTCAATTGATAATAATTTTTTTATTACTAGTGAATAGTAATAAGAAAAAAGTTGTTTAACAAAATATTATTAATGCAAGAAGAAAACGTGTGTTATTTTCTCCTCTCAGCCTCTCTGTGGATATTTCCTCTCCAGACCTTCTTGGAAGCCTGCACGAAAACTTCAGCCCAACTCCAGTATGTACTCTGACATTGGGTGCTTTTGTGAAACAGCTTTCATTGACGTACAAAATATATTATTTAGATCTTGTATCTTTTCCCATTTTCAAAGTCTGTTTCAAGAATTACCTCTTTGGACGCACTTTCGATCATCTTCCATCTCCCCCCCCCCCCCCCCCCGCCTATTATTTTCAGCTCCCCACCCTGACCCCCGGCTTAGGTGCCCAGCCAGCTGAAGAAACCACTTTTGTGATGTCTTTCCAATGAATGTAAATTATGTACGGATTCTTTATTGTTTGGATTTACTAAGGCACCTAGAAGTTATTTGTTGGGTAACTTTAACAGAAAACAAGACTGTTGTGATAGATGACAGACAGATCGACAGAGGGACCCAGGGGCCCCCAGCAACAGATGGCCCCTAACAACACGCTTTGGTAAGATGCAGAAAAGTGCCCAGGATTGAGCAGAGAGTTCCAAAGGTTCAGAGCAGACTGGCTGGTGGTTGGAGAGATCAGAAGAAGTGCAGAAAGGAAAATGGAGGCTCTTTGGGGATGATTTTCAAAAGATTACAGACCTTTACAAATAGGACATCTTATTCTTCACTGATGCTTGAAATCCATGAAATTTAGCAACCTTTGAAGAACTGTTCTTTTTGAGTTAGAGGGAGCACAACACTATAAACCTGTGATTGTTATTTGCTTTATTGTTGACAGTACTTCTAAAAGCTTGTGTCCTTCTCTAGGAACAACGACTTCTGATTGTTCTCAGCAACTGCGAGTATCTGGCACGGCATACTTTCAGTGGGTTAGCCGAGCACTTCGAGAAACATGCATTCCAAGGCACGGAGAAGATCACTCAGGTAATTCTAAAGCTACTCAAGAGATGCAGTATATAAAGCTGAAATGTGTGAGCTATTCGTGACAAATGTAGAAAGAGTTAGTTTGGGTCTCGTAGGAACTGCTCAGCTTAGTATTTAATAGATCTATAGCAATGTATTGTTCTTGGAGGAGCAAATCAATAACATTTCTTAAAAGCACATAATAGACAATAAATAATAGCAATTTAGATTATAATAATAATCCTTACATTTGATAAATCTAGTGGATATTTCAAGCAAGTAGATCTGCAATGAAGTTGGTTTGAACATTGAGATCTGAAGCTGCCATTTAAAAGAAAAACAATGTACTTTTTCTATAATTTTTGCTGATAAGCTAATGTGACCGTTTCTGTGAGCTATCAAAACTTTCCGTGCACTGGATTGGATGATCTACAACAATGACATTAAAAACAGAAAATGAATGGGGAATCCAAGACCTTTTGCACCTGACAGTTGAGAGGTTTAACTGTCGGTTTCTACAATTCACTAGGTGTTTTTAATAGCATGCTCTCCATGTGGTCAGAAATCATGTTTACTGCTTCCAATTACATTTGATTCCTTGAATCAAGTATTGAACTTTAACCGGTTCACATGAAAACATTCAATTGTTTAAAGGATTGACAGTTCTAGGTAAAAGTTGAGTCACAGAAATATTTGGTCAGTTTGACTTCTAACACTAGTGAATTGCAGTCGCACTAGGTGTAATGTTTTCTGTTCAGCTTTTTTTCTGCATGCAGTTCTATTCAAATGTGTTCTTAATTAAATGTAACCATTTTAAGCTTTTCCTCCACTTTTTTCCCAATTTTTGCTAAGCCCCTCACACCCACACTCTTCATGTTTGATGAGAGCCCAGCTAGGCAGTCTGTCTTTGCATTGTCAGTGTGACTCTTTTTCCAGACATTTATCATCCTGTACATGAGCAGCCTCCAATGACTCACCTAAGCTTTTCTGCTCTTTATGTGACTGAATGCAAACCTCCGTGTCACCTAATACCCAGCTTGTCTGGTTCAGAATGAATTTAGGAATTTATCTGGAGAATTTCATTCACAATGTTGCATTGTATTCCAATCTAATGATGTGTGGTAAGGCCATCTCTCCATTCTATTTACCTGTGTGAAGCAGTATAGTGATGGCATTATTTGGTGATTGTATCTGGCAAGAGGAACTAATTCACTGACTTAGATAATATTCTAAAAATTCCTAACAGAATAATATTTTTAAAGGTAAATAAGCAGGAATGTCAGTAGTATGGCATTACTGCATAGTGGCCTCAGTCTTGATCCCAAATAATGCACTGTATTGTCCAACAGTGAAAGGTGATGCAGTGTCAGCACAGTTGTATGACTATCCAAGCTTCTATGATAATTGATTAAAGGAGGCTCCCAAGTCACCAATCTGTTGCATGAAAGTAACATCGCTGCCATCAGTTTACAAAACAATGAGAAGAATTGAGGAGAATACCTGGAAATTTTGTCTTTATTGTTAGGTAGGTTAAGATAGTCAAGCATGATGTTAGAAACCCAAAAAAGGAACATTAAAACCAGGTGGTTGCGCGAATTCAAACTGAGATCTATGTTGGGTGACTGATCCTATCCATGAAATAAATGAATTTTCTGAAATTAAAAGATAGTTTCAAATTTCAGGTTATTTATGGTATTGAGTTGTTGTATCTGCAAGAATATTCTCCCATTCAGATTATGCCATTAGTAACTGTTAGAAAAATGGATTGCATTTCAACTACAACAATAATCATTTAAATCTGTATCACATATTTCATGCTGGGAGGACCTCTTAAATCTCACTTTGATTATGAAATAATAATGTTTCCCACAAAGAAGTCTACAATGAAGCAATTAGTTAGTGTGGTGTAATGCCCTACGTTCAGCCTTAAACCTTTACCTCTGTCTAAAAATATTGTTAATTCTCTGAAACCAATTTTCTCCTTTTTTTTAACCCAAAATGAATAACCTCACATTTGTCAGCATTAAAAGTCTATCTGGCTCAAGTGGTCCATGGTTTGAATTTTTTTTAAAAATTGGTAAGTGAAAATCCCCTTTCTGATAATTAAGAGGTTCAGACAATGTTATCTTAGTCAGCAGAATATGACCTTTATATTAAGGTGTGCATTGCTATTGGGGAAGTACAGTTAAAGCAATGCTTTTGCAAAAAAATTGGCAGGACGACTTCATAAGTCCTGAAAGCTTTCCCTAGCATATGTAACATATCTTGATAACTGTCCCTGAATGATAGATTTGAGTGACAGATTTGGTCTGTTTCCAGATATATCGAGAGGTGTCTTTTTTTCTTGTTCCAATCGTTGTTAGCTTTGCTATTGGTTAGCAAAGAACGCAATGAAACTTGGTGAGATCTGGTTAAAAATGTGGGTGTGTGAAGGAGAACAGCCTAAGGATAGTTTATAAGGTAATAGAAGGGGAATGTTGTTTGTATTTCTCGTTGGGGGGTGGTGGAGCAGGAATTGCTCCATTTATCGATGTTGTTGTTTCTACCAGTTGGAAAATATCTGCTCAAATTACATTTTGATATGTATCTGATCAGTTGCCACAAGCTTTGGTGGGGATTGGCATTCTTCCTTTTACTAAATGTATGAGAGGCAAACATTTAATTTGCATTCCCCACCCAGGCTCTACGTTGGAGCCCTGATCATTCTTCAAAGATGTAAGTGTGTAATACTATTCAGATATCAATTTTGTGAGATAACTGCTTATGGATGATACTTTATTGGATTTGGTACTTTAAAATTGTAAAGCAGAAATATTTTTAAAGTACATATTTATTGGACAGCAAAACTGTTTCTATTGTAAATCTTTTACTAATTCCCCCTCTAATCATTCATATCCATACAAAGACTCTATCCCTTTCGCACTTGCATCACTCTTGCATATGTTCATGATTACAATTGTTCTCACACTTAAGAACACTCTTGTACAATAACTAACAAATAATGGTCAGTATGTTTGAGGACAGGCAATTGAAATGGATTTTATGACTGTTCCTGAAGTAGCTTGCACGCCTTTTAGACAGTTACTTTAACTAGAATAATGTTCCGATTGTACCACTAGACAAATGATAGATTTGTGTTGATAAATGTGTAACATTCAGTTTACCTTAAATTCATGGAATAATTTGGCTCAGAAACAGACTATTCAGTCGAAGTGGTTCATGAAAGACTAGTTCACTCTTCCCCAGTTCCTAGTCAGTGCAATATGTATTTTCCTTTTCTAAACAGTAGCTACACGACATGATAAAACCCAGTTGGCACAAATACTAGAAATCACGATCTGTTCATTGCACAGATGATTTCAATGGTGAACGGTTAAATATCACTCCTATAGTTGAAAGACAGCATCCTCAGCTCTAAATGTCATGAGTTTGTGTGATGGTCCAACTTGTGCTCCAGACTTTGTAATAATTGCTCAAAGCTACACAAGCTGCCCCTGAATAAACCTGCTACAAACTGTATGTGGCCGGGGGAAAAAAGGTTTGGGTGTGAGAAAAGGATATGATGACTCCCACAGTCAATAGCCTACCAACCAACACTGATTGTTCAGGTTAACTGTTGAAGAGTATTGTAGAACAGTTGCTACTCATAAAACCAAGCCCCAACATGAGTCAGCAGCTGCAGAAGAGGGGTGTGCAAAAACAGAGCATCAAAAGGCACATGGTTGTAACCCCTAATGGTGCACAGGAAAAAATGCACATAGTTATTAAAGAGGGCATGCATTAAAGACAGTTTAGTCACCTGCAGAAACAAGAATATTACTCTAATTATTGCTTTTATTGATTGATTTATATCAAACATAACTAAGCATTTTGCAGTTAAGCAAAAATGCTGAGGGACACCCCCTACTCACAAAAGATATCTACTTACTCCCCTGCTCTGCCCCACATTGCATTTTCCACAGAAAGCGGTGGTTGATGGGTTTCCTGGTGCAGACGACCAAAGGCAATTATGGTTCATCACTCAGTGATTTTTCATCAAAGTACAATAACAGGATCTGGTTTAAGTGAAACAAAGAGATAGCTTGAAGATTGATATTTTGTATGAAAATTGTTTTTCCCAGAAGTAGACCTTCCAGTATGCAGCCCACGTTAACTCAAACTCTCACCACTAATTCTTTCCAATTGAGTTTTTAACAGTTGATCAAGTAACAGTTTAATGCTTACTTGTTCACTCATTCATTACCAGCTCCTATTGACTGACAGCGGACACAATTTGCTATATGTTTTGGAAGTGGCCTGTTTAATCTAGTTGTGCATGAAGAGCAGTTTTAAGCAAGTTTTATTTTGGATTAAAAATAAGTGGATAATTGCTGTAATGTATTATTATTGCTTCTTCATTTTTGTGTTTGCATCACTGCTCACTTGGAAGTAACCCTTGCAGGAAAATGTTACCATAGAATATGTAAGGAACAATTTTAGGAGTTCGGTTTCATTTCTACATTGTGTGTGTTCATGTGTGCATGTCCGTGTACATGTGTGTTATGTATGCATGCGTATATGTGTGTGCGTTTCCATGTGTTAGTGGGATGCATGGAATTCTCCGTTTGGTTTGGATACTCTTAAGCATGGTGATGCGTTTCCGCATGTGCCAGACACCCAGCTGACCAAAAAAAATAAAAATTTATATTGTGAAAGGCTCATCGGGCTTTAAACAAAATCTTATCACCTGTAAATTTCCCCTTTCTCGCTGTGCTATTTTTAGTTATGTTTTGTGCATTTAATCCAGACCTAAAAGATTTTTTGATTAAACATTAGTCATTACCTACGACTTTGATTGTAATGTGTGGCATTTAGTTATTTTTATTGAAGGCTTCAAGTAAAGATTCAAGTAAAGATATTCGACTTCATGAGAATTGGCTGGGGAGGAGGGGGAGAGAGTGGAACAACTTGGTGGAGTCAGCTATCACTATCATTCTGTTTCATAGAATAGCCCCTGAACAGTTATGTTTTTAACAATTTTA